TGAACACTACAAGAACAAATAAATATATATTTTTTTCTTTCACTTTGTTGGTCTATCTTTCTATCACTTTTGTTAATTTGACACTTATTGTGACCATCCTTCTGGAGAAATCTCTACATCAACCATTGTATATCTTTGTTTGCAATTTATGTGTTAATGGACTGTATGGAACTGCTGGTTTCTATCCAAAACTGTTGGCTGACTGGCTGACTTTCTCTCGGACTCTCATGTGATCTCATACAGTGGATGCTTGATTCAAGTCTTTGTGATTTACTCCTCTCGTTTATGTGAAATAGCTAACATAACTGTAATGGCTTATGACCGTTATGTAGCAATATGTAGGCCTTTACAATATAATTCAGTTATGACTCCTCTTCTAATTAGTAAATTAATTCCTTTTGCTTGGATTTATCCTTCTTTTTCAATGATATTATCCATTTTGTTGACTGTCAGGCTACCTTTATGTGGAAATCGCATTGAAAAACTTTACTGTGAAAATTGGTCAGTGGTGAAACTGTCCTGCATACCATCTACATATAGTCTTGTGTATGGATATATTCAGATTCCAATGTTTTTTGCACCTGTGATTTATGTCTTTTATTCCTATGGACAGATAATTGTTGCCTGCAGAAGATCTCAGAAGAACCAAATTAAATTTATGAACACCTGTCTGCCACACCTTCTAACCTTTACCAACTTCATCATTGCCTTGCTCTTTGATGCACTGCACAGTAGATATGGCACAAGTGACATGCCCCTGTCTCTTCGTAACGTTATGTCACTAGAATTTCTAATCATCCCTCCTCTTTTCAATCCCATCATTTATGGTTTAAAATTACACCAGATCAGGAGAAGAGTTTACAACATATTTAGGTGTCACAAAATTGCTCAGAGCTAGTGTATAGTAAATAGCTGCCAAAAGAAAATTCAAGAGTCAAGAATATTGGATATTGATGTTTACATTATAAAACATTTCATATTATCTGAACAAGATAAATCGACAAGATAAAAAAAAATTAGAGGTGAGAGGCCTTCACAAAAGGTAAG